TAGTTGAACGTGAGTAAGAAGGAGTCCTAGAAGAAGTTATAGACTATGTTTTGAGGAGTTAAAGAGAGAGGAGGAAGAAAGTATCTGATGTGGAAACAAAATCAAAATTGGAGAAAACAGTTGATGAAGTACACGTTTTATGCAAATTAATTGGAGAAAAACTAGGAGAAGGTGGTGTGGATTTTTATGAGGAAGGAAAATTAAGATTTGAAATTATATTAGACTGTACTGGAAACATAGAAGTATAGGGAAACGATGATTCTATAAATGTATATGACGTGAAATAATTATCCGATTAGTAGATGGATTCAAACATTTGAACCCCTTGTCTTGAGGAGAAACTCCAAGAAATAAGCATGGTTGTGAACGGGGCTGAAACTTATAAGCAAACAAATGTCCAACATACGGATAGCATAAACATCCAAATACCTTAATTAAATTATAATCTAGTGGTTTACCATATAACTTTTTATAAGGAGAAACAAAATTAAGAACGGGAAGAGGAGTGATATTAATTAAATGAACCCCAAAGAGAGAGGCATCCGTCCAAAAAGAAAAAGATATTGAAGCTTGAAAGAGAAGACATCGTATCATATTATTAACACGTCGATGCTTTCTTTCCGCATGACCATTATGAGGGGAGGTATACGGATAAGAGAAGCGATAAATAATTCTATGTTCACTAAAAAATGAGCGAAAATGAGAATTGTTATATTTCTTGCCACCATCAGATTGAAAATAAGCGATAGAAGAATGAAAAAAAATGTTTGAGACCATTTTATAGAACTCTTTAAATTTATCAAAAGCCTCTTACTTGTCTCACATTAAATAAATCCAAGAGTATTTGATGTAGTCATCAAGAAATAATAGAACTAAATGGAGCTTGCCACATGTACATCTGAATGAATTAAAAGAAAAGGAGCATTATTCTGAGAAGAAGAAAATTGTAACTTAGATTGTTTGCCAAGGTGACAAACATTACAACCATAATTTTTAAAAGACGAATTACAATGAATAAAACCCATACGAACTAAAGCAGCAAGAGAGCGTTATCTTGGATGACCTAAATGCTGGTGCCAAAGGGAGAAAGACGAGACAACACTTGAAAAAGCAACATGAGAGGAGTGACTAGAGATAGTGGCGAAAAGAGAGCCATTATTCTCAGAGTAGAGTAACACTTGCTTGGTTTTCTTGTCCTTAATAAAAAAAACAGAGTTAGGAAACTCAATGAGACAATTATTATCAGCACACAAACGGTGAACATACATTAGGTTTTTCTTAAGAGAAGGAACATATATAATATTTTTTAATTGAAGAGGCTTCGAAGATGTAATAATAGACGAAGATCCGGTGGATAAAATGGAAAAAAGATTACCATTTCCAAACATCACTTGTGACGAACCAGTGTAAGTAAAGGGAGAGGATAAAAGAGATTGATCGTTTGTCATATGCGCAGAAGCACTAGAATCAGGATACCATACATATGGTTGGACCTCCTCCAACTTCATAGCAACAAATGATTTTGGTAGTAAATTAGGAACATAAGAATGATTAAAACAATTCCTACATTCTAGAGCAATGTGACTAAAGTGAAAACAAATTTGACACTGTTGAGTAGATGTGAAACGAGGTCGTCCAAGAACTCCATCACCTGGAGAGGCAGGACGAAAATTTTGTCGAAAACAAGCCCATTGATTTGAGAAATTAGAGCAAGGAGAGTATTGACCTCGGCCCCAGCCTTTGTTCAACTTACCACGACTACGTCCATTGTGTGATCCTTTTGGATATGGATTAGCATGTGATAAAGTGGAATAATGAGGTTGAGAAACTGGTTGTGCCGAAGAGGAAGCAATTAAGGCACTGTGAGAAGTGGAGTTGTCAATGTTTGCTGCATTGATATGTGCTTCTTCAGTGAGAAGTAATGGACGCAATGCTAGAAAAGAGGGAAGTGTTCCTATAGCATTCAATCTAAAGACAAAGGTATGATAGGAAGGTGGCAATCCTTGCAATGCTTGGGCCACTAAATCGTCTTTGGAAACTGGTTTGCCAACTGCTCCAAGTGAACAAGCAAAAGAGTGCAGTTGTTGGAGATAACCTCCATGGAAAGCGAGCCTTTCTTAAAATTCTGAAATTTTGATTTTCAGATGAATTGATGAAGGCGAAACTTGATCAAGGTAGAGGGAAGCAAGAACATCCCATGCCTCTTTGGATGTTTTCGCAAGCGTAGTTAAGAAGGGAATCAAGAACTGGAGGTGAGAGAGTGGCATTGATCCAACTGAGAGTTATAGTATTACATTGAATCCACCGGCGATTTTCATCATGGGTTGATGGTAGACATGGAATAGATCCATCAACCAATGGAAGAAGGTTGTGACTTTTTAGAACAGTGAAAAAACCTTTTTCCATGTAAGGTAATTAAGATATGTTTGATTCAATGGGTACAAAACCTTTAATATTTGTAATAGTTGGAGGAGGTTCGGAAGACCCAAGGAGGACTGAGAGGAACTGACTTGACTTGGAGAAGAAGTTTTGAGTGGAAGAAGTTTGGGAAGCCATTGGTGCTCTTGATACCAAGTTGAAGTTTAGAATGTAGAACTACAAAGCGAGTAAGTTGCAAAGGCCTTCATAAGTTACAAAGGCCAGAACGAAGTCTTATTTATACAAAATACAAAAGATAAACTGACGAATAAATATAAAACTAACTACAACGTGTGTGTATATGAATATTATTTACAATAATATCCTTGTTAGTCTCATAGACTCAAAGCCGTAGTTGTAGTAAATTTCCTTGGCCTGTGAACCAACTGATGTGATGATCACGCTAAATGCATGAGAGGGGTGGCTCTCGTTCACACCTCTCAAGTCGTGCCAAGAGGAAAACTCTCTTGTTTCATCACTCTTCAACACATGCAATTTCAGCATTAAACAATTTTTGGGCCACAAATCAAACAAGCTGTTGAGAAAATCTATTTACTTTACCAACGATAAAAATATTTTTGGCAACAAGATTGAGATGTTTGCTAACAAGAAAAAACTCATTGTCTAAAGTTTTACTATATACCAACAGTAAAATTAAGTTATTGCCATTTATTAAAATAAACCAATGTTATAGTTGTAAGATTATTTAGTATTGACGGGTTAGCTTTTAAGAGGAGGAAACTTAGAGCCCGTTTGGATTGACTTATTTAAGTATTTTTAGGCCAAAATAGCTTTTAAGTCATTTTGTAGTGTCTGAATAAAGTAAAAAAAAATACTTTTAGGCACTTATTTTTAAGCTAAAATGACAAAAATAAGCCAAAAGTCAAAAACTAAAATTCCTAACTTGTGGCTTTTGGCTTAAAAGTTACTTACAACAAGCCCATCCAAACGTGCTCTTATTCCTCGTTGGAAAAATAAAGAAAGAAAGAAGTGCTTATAAACAATCCTTTGTCTTATATGGTTTAAATATTTTGAGGGATGTTTTGAAGGGAAACTAGAATTTGGCTATATTATTTATAGTTAAGATTGGGCCTTGGGGGCAATTAAGTAGTCCGAAATTAATATTTTCAATCACCTATTATTTTTATTATTTAATAAAAAAATTAATTATTAAAATATTTTTAACAGTTTTATTTCAAATTGAAAAGGTGACTACTGATTTTTAAAAGGTGCATGTTGGCAAGGGTGATTCTAACAGACAGCTAAAAGGTTTATAAATGCCCCTTGCCTCTCCAAAATAAAACACAACACAGAAAGTTCTCTTACTACTATTTACAATTCACACAGTTCATTCAAGTGGAAATTCAAGTTAATTGGTGGTACTCGAATTTTATAGGCTTTATAGAATAATCCCTGCAGTAACAATAGTGGGGGGCTTAAATTTCTCAAAAACAATGGCTACACTATCAAAGTCTTATTATTTCGTCTCCATAGTAATATTTTTCTAACAATTAAAGATTTGTTGCTACTTGTATATTTAGTTTGGTAAATATCACTTTCTTGAACGGAGTTGATAAGTGAAGATGATCGATGTAGAAGTAGATAATTAATAATACTACTAGTTTGAAGATGGGAAGCACCTGAGATGGAGTAGTGTGGATTGCAACGCCGTTGACGATGTGTTTGAAGCTGTAAAGCTTGTGATAGCTCCCTGTCTCCAAATTACTTTGTAGAAACTCATCATGGAATTTTGTCAACTCATTTGCATATGCTTCACTAAATGTTAAAAATAATCCTCACTTATGACTCTTATGCAACTTTACTTGTCACATCAATTACACCATTAATAAAGTATATCTAGGTGACACTAATACGAAGGGATTTGGGACGCAATACTGTTAGCTTACTTGTGTCACGTAATTTAAGTTGATCGCCGAATCTAATTAATCTTTATATTATTATCACTTCCTTAATTATGATATTGGAGGGAAAAAATATCTTTATACACTTTGATAAACTATCATAAATCACGCATCCGATATTTAAAAAAAAAAACTAATTAAAAATAAGAATGAGTACTTTCATCGAAGTTAGGCATAAACACTATTTTTTGAATTCATATAAGTAGCAAGCAATGTCTTTTTGGGCCAATAAATTGTGTAAAACTCATACACACCTCAAGCAATCAACTTGAAAAGGGTATTTAAATTTTGTTAATACCTGTTTGGATCAAGCTTGTTTCCTTTTTCTGAAGATGTTTTAATCTGATGAAATGCGACAGGATCACCCTCCATTAGAACCAAATATATTTTTCTATCTTCGCCATTGCATAAAACAAGAACTACAAATATAAGAAGGAAGTTTTTGAGGACATAATTCATTGCTAGCACTAATATTAGAAGGCAAAAAACTAGTTCAAGTGAAGTGTAATAAAAAGCAACTTCACTAAGCATGAAACAGCAAGTATTAGGAATCACACACGTTTTTTTCATGAACAAAGTCAAGCTTTCGAAGAGCAAAATCTGCTATTTTTAACCGTTACTTTTTTCTCCTTTTTTTTTCCTTCCATTTTTTGTCTTGTTTCACCACTGCAAAAAAAAACGGAACAATTATGGCGTTTTTATTACGGCGACTATTAAGAACCGCCACAATAATCACTGTACCACTCCAGTACTATAGTCGCCCGATTGTGCATTCGTAAAGCGGCGGTTTAAGATACAATTATGGCGTTTCGAACCGATGCTATCTTTATTTTTAATTTTTAACATAATTTTTAGGTTTAGTTGGAAAATGCATATTCTCACAAATCAGAACTCCTCGTTCACTTCCCTCTCCGTGCAGCGCTTTGTCAGACCGCCATAGCCGGCGATTCTCTCTTCTCTTCTCTCATCTCCCAGTTTATCCTTTATCTCCTATTCTCTCCTTTCGTACTCCTCTTCTCGATGAGGCCCTTGATTCGAAATACGGAAAGGAATGGCGAAGCTTCTGGTCTACGATGAAGCTCTCATGGAATTCGCAAACCTCCGTCGCAGCTTTAATGATCTCAACTCTCAACTTCAAACAAAGTTCAGGCAGGTCCTTTCAGTTTTTATCTCCTTTTCTCTATATATTGATTGATGTGGATCTAGGGTTTCATTCTTAGTTTGATTTGCTCTGTCAATATAACTGTTAGATACTTAAATTTGTGCTTAGCTTCCATTTTTATTTTTTTTAATGTATCTTAAGGCACGATTTGATTTGTGGTTGAAACTTGATTGACTGAAGAAAGAGTTGCGTGTGGAGTAAAGTTCTTATGGCTGTTTTCTGATCTTATTCTCCAGAAATTGATTTTGAAAAATCAATGCATCTGTGGGCAGTGATGCTCAAGTGGAGGATGGTATTTGGTGCAGACACTAAGGTAGAGTTTTGAAAATGCTAGTGAAAATTTATTTTGGAAAAAGCAATAATCTAGTGTCCTCAGGTAGTATTTTGGATCCTAATTTCCTTGGGAGACATTCTATTAGTCCATCATCTTCCAAGTTGTTGCTTTTGCATTAAATTTTTTCAGTGAGATTTATTTTTTTTACCCAATGGATCTACAGGTTATACAGGAGCATACAACATCTGAACAATTGATAAGAAGGTAATCTTTTGCTCTTATATCTCTTACTTTACTTTCCCCTATTCTTTTAGAGCAGTAGGACATAGTCTAGTTGATAGAAATATAACCAAGCTTTAGTAAATTGATCACATTTAAATAGTCAATATGACTACAATTTTGAAAATGGTATCTTATTTGAGAAAAAAAGACAAAATACTTAGCAAATGGTTATCCGATGTAATTAGTCTTCTAATGCCGATACTGAAAATCTTTGTAAAAGAAAGACTCTACTCCATAGATGAGAAAGAGCACATTGAAGCACAAATATTCTGAAAGCAAGGAGTGATATGATGGCAAAACTATTAAATTAAGTGTGATTTACATGTCCTTAGAGTGATAGGTCCAATTGTTATTTCCACTGGTCTTTGGTGATTTCGGAGAAACTACAAAAGGGATTTATGTTTGCCTTATCGAGTTTATATTAATCACCAACTTAAACTGGATCAATCATGGTGCAGGAATGAAGAACTTCGACAAATGAGCTAGAAAATTCATCCAATGCCTCCAAACTGTTGATGGTAAGAATTTTCTTTGGGTACTTGCTTTTGTCTCAACTAGCTCAAGACATTTCTATGTCTCTTGTTGCTCTCTGTTTTTATTGTGATAATTCGTTGAGTTTCTTTGCTTGCTTGAAGCTTTTAATCGCTGTTTAGTACTTGTGTTGTATGTATATCACTCATGTTGGTTCTAAATTTAGGCTACTGCAAAGATTGTAACACTTTGTAGATACAAAGTCAGAGTAACATTTGTCATTATCGAAAAAAGTCATAGTAGCATTTATGATACTGGGTAATGAACTTAATAGATTTTAATTCCATTATTTGGCTTACCATCCTTCAGCATTACAAAAATGAAACTTAAGGTATTTGCTGTTGTTTGCTAATTGTTGATTATTTTAGTTAGTTCATATACTTACGCATGCTATTGTCACTCTCTCAAATTCTATTTGTTTTACGGATGTCTATGTGGTATCATCTCCCAATGTAATATGCAAAGAATTTTTTGTTTGTTGACATTAGATCGTACCCCATGGAAAAGCTATATATATGTATATCCTTACTAATTTTTCCCTAGTTGTTCTGTTGTTCAAAGTTGGAGGACACACCAGAAATTTTACCTGCTTTTCATGTCAATATCATCTACTAATATATACTTCTTTACATCCTATTGACTTTGTAAGAATGGAGATGCAAGAAATACGGTGGATGTAAAAGCCCGGATTGTTGAAGAGCCTAATAGCAAATCTAAGATATGGAAGCTCACTGAAGTTACTGAATCATCACAGTGCTGATCCTTGAAGCTTCCTGAGAACCTCAGAGTGACTAAGATATAAACTCCATGTTTCTTGATTCACGAGATATCTAATTGGATCATTTTTTTTCCATTGAACATACACATAACAGATAACAGATAATTCATGAATAAAATCTGACGCACATTTAGTCAGGGCTTGTCCCTTCAGGTTTAAAAGTTGCCTTTGTGCAATGACATTATCAAGGTGCGTATAAGACAACATGATATCAACAAATAAAATTATTAGGTTAATTGAGTGGAAATGAACCATAGGACAACATGCCAGGGGAAGGGATATTGATTTTGCGCATCTCTTTTACCCTTTCTTGGTCACTAAATGTGATTCTATTCAAGTGCAATGGAAGTCCATCAAGGTCATCGATCACAATGTCACGGAGGTCTAAAGCCTTCTGAGCAAAGTCTTTAAACCTTGTCGTCAATCACAATAAGCTATATGGTGTCTTGTTTTATAACAGTAAAAAGTTAACAAGTCAATGATCCTGCTGTCACTTTAGCACTCCCATTCAGTAAACCGATATTCTTTGCATTAAACTGCTTTCTTGGTCGATTAGTTAAGGAATCTGTGTTGTATGACTATAGATAAACTAGCATAATCATACTCTTCAAAGAAAATTATATTAGCATATATTCAGTTTGTAAATTTTTTGTGTACGAAATCATTTCCTGTTTGACAAACATGGTAAAAAGTATGATAGTTAGATATGACTACGGCACTTGCTTTTGGATACTTGTAAGGTAAACTAAGACAAGTCGATATGCTACAACTTCCACTGGTCAACATATACATGGTATAAGCTCGAATGTCTCATGCACGAGTGATATTATATGTTGGCATAGAAAAAGAAAAAGGAAATAAGGGCAGGGAATGTTGGAAGGGTCTTGTATTTCCTCCTTTTACATGTTAATGATGCATTCCACTTTTCTTCTTCTTTCTCTGGATCCTTATCTTGAATGGTTAAAGGAGTTGACTAAATATTCTGCAGGTTATATCTGCCACCTACAACCTATTCAGCAGTTTAAGAAATGTGAATATATTAGTTTGTACCATGACCCTTTGACATGCTTGCAATTTTGAATATAAAGTTTTATATTTCGTACATCATGATTGAATTTTGATTATTTCTTGCTTATTGCTTCATTTTATTTTGTAGGCACAGAATATAAGAAATATGTTGCATCGCCTAACAAGCCAGAAAGGATCTCCAAATGGAAGTAACACTGCTCCACAGATTCATGCACGTGCTCGTTCAACATAATTTCTAGGATTTATTGTAGTTATTTTCCTTGTATTGAGTGAATGTAAAATACTACTTGAAATTTTAATACATTTTATGATGTATTTCTGGAATACTTATATTTTTATATAGGCAGAATAGCCTGGGAGGCCCCTATACTTGTCCAGTTTTGTCATGCCGGTGTTCGTACTTACAAGTTTGCCAACCAAACCCCTCTATCCTTAAAAACTGAGTATTTAAACTCCGCTCATGCTGTGTGGTATTTTTTTACTGAAGTACGTATACTACACTCGTTTAAGGAGCGTGAGGCCTATTAAAAAGGCACCAAGAGCCAATTTTTTAGCAGTCATTTTCTTCCCGATTGTTCATCCTCCATTGTTGAACAAGTGAGCTTTTCTTCTTTGCTTTTCTCTCTCCAATATTTTCTGTCCAATTCTTTTTTTCTCTCTTCAACATTTTCTGTCCAATTCTTTCTCTCCTCCCCTATATTCTTTGTTTATTTCTTCCCTCGAATCTGAAACTTTATCATGAATTTAGAATCCTTTGGCCAATAATTCAGATCTCTTTTAAAATTCAATTATATGCCCTTTTTGTAGAAGGAAAACACATCAAATTATCAAAATACCAACAAACTAAAAAAAGGGTCAACCGAAAAATCCTCAAAAATCACCACATCTCAAAATTAACCCATAAAGGGTTTTGAAGCACAAATTATACATCTTTTACAAATTAATCCTTTAAAAATATTAGAGCTTTTTGAGAAAATTTAACCCCTAATTTCAAAAATCAAGCAAGGCAAGACTTGTTAAAACTGACTTTAGCATTTCGTTGAACACATGGTGTCTGCAACTCTGCAGATTTTGATTTTTGAATTGTTGTGACGATTGGTTCATTGTAGTTGTTGTTTGATCGTTTGGCATCAATCACTTGGTCAGTTGGAGTCAATTGGCATTGGTCTTGTTCAATTTGGACACATGTAGCTCCATCCTCGACCAACTGGTGTTCGCCGGCCATATTCAGTTGGTTGGAGGAGACTATTCCGGCATTGAAATTGTCTGAAACTTGGTGGGTCGATGGTATTTGAAGGAACAATCTCCACTGCTTGGAATCACTCGATTTGAACCAGAACCGATATGATAAATATCAGTTTTGCCCAGGCAATTTTTCGCTGCACTACTCGATCCACCATTGTTGAAATCTGCAACAGCTTGGGAAGAAATGAGAGGGGCGCCTAGGTGGGGTTTATGCGCAATGGTGAGGCGCATCTTTTGGGACTGGTCCGGTGGCTTTTCACCACCAGACGACGACACAGTGGCCATTCCGCCATTGTTGTGTTACTGTTCATAATAGTCGCACCATTTGAGGGAGGGGATTAGTGTTTGAATTTTATTTTTATTTTTGATTTTAATTATTTTTAATCTATCATGTGACATGGCATCTACACATTGTTATTTTTTGACGTGGCAGCCAACGTGGAGGAGATTGTGTTACACGCACTGGTTTTTGACGTGGCAGCCAACGTGGAGGAGATTGTGTTACACGCACTGACATCCTCCTGTCATAAGCGTTTATTATACACGGTTTGAAGGAGTTTAAGTGTTCAATTGGTAAATTGTTAAGTTTGGGGACCGTCATGACAAAGTGACACAAATATAAATGTCATTTAGGCCATTCTTACTTTTACATATACAATAAATGATTTACTTATTCAATATTTTTTTTATGTTTGTTTCAAAACTATTGTAAACCAATCCATTAGGTAGGGTGTCAAAAGTAGAACAGAATAAATGTGAATGAACAAAAATTATAGCCGACAACAAAAGGGGGATTGTGGCGGTGCAAAACTGCCATATTAATTAGTGTGAATTACGGTAACATATCCAATTCTGACGGTTATGACTTGCCGTACTAAGTAAAACCGAACCGCCGTTATTTCACTTTCACAATTCTGGTGCTTTTCGGAAAATTGCCGCAATAACTTTTTGACGGACGTAATTATGACGTTGTTGGAAACCGCAGTTAGCCTACATAGTGACGGTTCAAAACCGCCGCAATATACATAAAAAAACCGCTACAATAACATCCACAAATTTGGTGAACCTATAAAGGTGACAAAGGGCCGGGCCAGGTTGAGAAAAATAGTGGCCGGCTGGTCATCAATCCGGGTCGGTTATCGAATTTTACAAACCGGACTTAACGGATCCGGGCCTATCTGGTAAAAAAATTGAACCGGAACGGTTCCGGGCCTAAGGGTCCAGGCCGGGTCGAGTTTATGTTTATGTTTTTTATTATTATTATTTTTTGTATTTTGTATAACTATCGTAATTTATATTAATATAAAGTAAAAATATAAAACAAAAACTAATCTTATAAAAAGAGTTTGAATAAAGGATTCAAAGGCATTAAAATTCTAATATTTGAATATTTCATTAAGAATTTAAGATAATAAAATACAATGAAGATGGAAAAAAATTACACTTATAATTCTTATTTCAAACTTGCAAATTAAAGTTTACATTTAACAACAACTAAATTAACGAAAAAAGAGCAAATTCAAAGTTTAATTATTAAATATAAATCTAGAACTTCAAAGGTTTTGCATTGCCTTAGTAAGTTATTCATAATCAATATGAACTTCGTGGCCATCTTCCGGAGTATTAAATTCAGATGGGTGACCATGTGTTAATATATCTCCAAGTTCCTCGTCTTTTGGTTTATCACATCTTCACGTCCCTGATTTCTTCGTTCCGATCTAATCCAATCTCTGAAACATACTAAAACTTCCAAAGCATTACTTCCCAATGAGTGACGGGTGTCTCCTAGTTGTTGTCTTGCTTAACTAAATGCACTCTCTGATGTAACAGTTGAAATTGGCACATTCAACACGTCCCGAGCCATAGCGGAAAGAACATGAAATTGCTTTTCATTTTCATGTCACCATCCCAACGGTAAAAATTTCTTAGTGCGAGGCTCTGATTGCTTTTGCAAGTAGAATTTTTCATCAATGTTCATGCTGCTGGTTTGAGTGGAAGAAAATATAGCCTACATATTATAACCATCAAGGCCTTCATCTTCATTATATTAGCAGATGCAGTAGAAGTAGTACAATGCATAGTGGGATTAACATTGCCTACATTAATAGCAACATCATCAATTATATGTTATTTTTGTGGTACTGTGTAGTTACCTGATCTTATCTGTAACCATGAAATCTCAACGTGCTAGAGTAATCAAGTTGTGATCCATGTTTGAAACTATGTTTAGGCTACATGCTTATCCTATTGGGACCCACAGAGGTTATTTCTGCTGTTGAGTTATTTGCTTACATTGCAACTACATACTGAGTCATACGCATTCATTGCATATCATATCTTAGTCTCCATTACTATTTATTGATACATCACATCATTATTTTTGGGCTGATATTTATGACATTTTGAGCCCGAGAGATTGGAGATATTGATGATGGAGTGAGCCTGAGGGCCTGATTGTGAGGATATTTATGGGATCAGGCTGCACGCCACAACATGTTTATTTGATTCATGCCAGGATTAACTTATTATAGTGCTTGAGATGGAATTGCCCCTCCAGAAAACTCAACAGTAGCTGTATAAAATTTATGTAAAAATTGAATAACATCATTAATGGCCTCCCAAGTATTAGTTGTTAACATACGGTTTGGATCATTACAATGCGCATTAACAACTTCAGTTATCGGAAATCTATATTTGTAGTTGTCACGCCCCAAACTCGGAAAGCGCGACCGACGCCCAACCGAGTGAACCCGGTCAAGCAAGCCTGTTAGACGCTTTTTACCCAACACACCTATGATCAAGAGGAGACGTAATTTCGTTACTTAGACAATAGAGAGATCATGTACACAATACTAGATCATTTCATTAGTTACTTCACTTTTAAGTATCAAAATACACATATTCTTTTAGTTTGAGTGGAACAAGTGATCAAACACAACATAATTTATTTGACTTTTCTAGCACCCATGTACAACCCACATAGTGTCTACGGAGCCTCTAAAAGATACAAAAGAGTGTTATGATAGTGCCGGCAATAAGGCCCAGATTATACCTCGAGACGTGATAATAATATGAACAAAAGATACAATACGTGACCCCGAGATAAAGTGGGGCTCACCAAGTCTGTAGGGAAGAGGATGTACCACTATCGCTGATCAACACTGCCTGCTATGGAACCACCTGTATCCATTTAAAGATGCAGTGCTCCCGGCAAAAGGGACGTTAGTACTGTCGAATAGTACTAGTATGTAAAACTAAACACTATCTCAATAGAATGAATAATAATACAAGGGGGAACAATCAAGAATTCAATAAGAGCTTCAAATAATACTAAAACATCAAGTTAAGGATCACATAAGTTTTCAAGTCAATTTTCATGTTATTAGGTTGAGTGATCTTTAGTGCCGATATACCATAATTCATAATACCACTATATTCTTATACGGAGTCCGATCACGATTCGATCGGCTGGACTGTCTCATTTGAGACATCAACCATAACCACAATTTCATTATAATTTTCAGCACAATCACCACCATGTGTGCGGCATGGTGTCTGATCACGGTCCGATCGGCTAGGCCGTCTCACCCGAGACATTACCTTTTTCAGTCAATCATCTCACATCATACTTCTTTCATATCCTTTCGATTCATTGGCACTAGTGGCTACAATTATAAAGTCATTCTTGGCACTTGGCCGTATTTCATAATTCCAGTTCCCCTTTCCACATTCAAACATCATTATCATTATCAATAATAATAAGGCTTCCCATTCAATACATTAAATTCACACATGAGCAATTTGGGAATCTTAGGCACATAGAGGCTTTTCATATAATTTGGCATAATAACCATTATTTCGATCTTGACTTGAAGTCTTAATATTTTTAACATATATTCCATGTTTTGAACACATTCTCAATGATAAGGTGATATGATGAAGCATTCACAACACATATTGAGCATATATCCTTCAACATAAGCACATTCGGAATAGCCAATTCTATTATGATCAATTTGGGACTTACACCAATTACATGAACACCGTGAGATTCGATTCTAAGAAGAAGGGGATTTAGCTAATATACCTGAATTTAGTTTTCTTTAAACTCTAAAACATTCCAGAATTCTTA